TTAGATATTACACTGGTATGGCCGATCAATAGTTTGTTTCACAAGCCGCGAATTTCTGTTTCGGGGTAGATATTACAGTAATGGTTCCTCTCCCCTGTACAGCTTATTTCCACTTAGTACAAGACACACACATTCTACTAATGAACTATTTAAGAATGTGATATAAAAATTAAAGTACAGCAACATGGCTGAGGAGCTGCACGCCAAGATTTAATTTATGGTCTTAAAGGAAGCCGAAGTAAAGTTATGTCGTAATGAATTTAATGTACTTCAGATTTCAATTAATGTTAAAAGCCGTAACAAACTTATATGCAGTGTAAAGACGAGAGCCAGGAGCAACATACTTGGACCTAAGAAGGGCGCGCGGTACCTGGGAAATTCAGGAGAAATTACTAAATAACGGGGAAGTTCGTGATTTATACAGATTACAACGTAATGTTAGGACAGTAAAACAAATGAGGCTAGAATACAGATAAAGTACACTCAAAATTATTGTAGCGAAAGGTCTTGGAAAACGATCACCTGAGAGACAGAGAAGAATCTTGTATATTAATGTGAAGCACAGGGGGAAAAAATAGCAGGTTGTGAGGATGAACGGTGAAGAGAACGCGTTCTGGAACGTGTTGAGTCTCGGGGTTTTGTGTTAGCGTCCAGCCTTGTCATTCCAATTCATTATTATTAATCATTCGTTGATTCGTTGTTGTAAAGACTGAGCTACTGACAGCGTCGTTATATAAACAAAATTAAATAACACAGAAATTATGCAGAGACATTAACATTTGTATGATTTGAGGTTTTCACAGCGGTGAGTATGAACATTTCTGTCTTCTGGGTTGTTGCGCTGTGTAGTCTGGTAGATATTTACCAAAGTTTCGGAGGTCATACTGCCTCCGTCATCAGGAAGTTAGCTGTAGTCCGTTTCCTATTAAACGTCACGAAACAAACAATTTACTAATGTGTTAATCTCAGGCCCTGTAAAATCCTTTCGCCCTCTGTTCTCCGTTTCTCTCCGCAGCGTCTCACTATGGTAGGCAACCGTCTAACGCGTAAACCAATCCATATATAACTCTGCGGCAGTAAAAAACATGTAAAACTGGTCAACTGGAATTAATATCCATATTTATTTAAATAAGTAAACAATTTTATTTTTAGTACACTTTATTTGAATGAAACCCCTGGTGAAGTAATTACGCTTTCATTAAATTGTAATAAAAGCCAATATAAAAGGAACATACAGCCGCTAACAATCGACAGAAAGGGAAGCAGTTCGGAATCTCGATGTAATTCAAGCTGATCTTACGAATTGGAATATTACTCACAATTCGACTCTTGTCTCTGATCCCAGAGGAAAGGAAAAGTTTTTCCTTTCATTTCAATCAAACTCTTCTTTCTCCATAAGTTTTAAGTAAAAGGAAAATGTTGAAATTCAGACATAAATATTTTCCAACGATTCGTTCCGTTGTATGAGTCCCTAGGGTATAGCTTGCCGCTAGCTATTCCACACCCATCAACGATCGCTTGGTAACATCGCAGAACGTCTTTCCCAATCCGACCAAGAAATTCTCTCCTCTTATTGAAACCGAAGGATTATTTCCGTCAAAGTAACCCACCGTTTTATCCTACATTGAGTTATCTCATTTCAGTTAACATCTTCAAAACCTGTAATCAGAAAGATTAATTTTAATAGTAATTGTTTAAAAATTTAGTGTTTATTATAAAAACACAACGCTTCTCCGTAACAGATACCGGTTAGTTAACGTTGTTTAGGAAAGTAATTGATTATTATTCCGCTAATCATACGAAAACCACAAAATGTGGACAAAAGCAATAACAGAGTGTACATATAGTTACCACTGTGTTTAAAGGGGTAAACAAGTCATCACCTCTGATAATTTTCTTCCGTCTGTTGACGTAGTTTAAACAGAAGGCCCTCCGGTTTCGCAGTCCGTCGATGCAGCAACCTGAATGAAGGGATCGAAACATGGAGCCGTGGATTTTGTAATTTTCCATATACGAATGTGCACGATGTTAGACCAGCACTCCAGGTGCCACAAGTGGGATTTGATGAACTGAAAATGAAAATGTTTGATTGACTTATTTCTGTTTAGGTAAACGAGAAGTTAACCGCGAAAGGCACAACCACAGAATGTTACAAATGTCTCAAGTTTTTCGTTGTCTCATCCGTTTCCTAAATGCCCCAACCCCCCTCCGACGAGCAAGCTCATGTTTCGTCAACATCACACACACGCAGAAACTCGACAGAATACACCAGGCCACGTTCCTTTGCCGAAGAATTAGACAACGGGATGAATCACTTGCTATGACTGACAAAGGCTGTGTTCCAATGTCCGACGTACGATTTCCTTGCATCGTCAGGCTACAACCTCGCCTTTGTAACTCGATTCCACTGCATGCTTCAACCGTCTCAGGTTCTCTCTTAAACTAAACGCACCGACAGTAAAGGATCAGCGCGGAACTGTACCTGGAAATCTTAAAACTGTAGCAAAGTAGAGAAGCAACAGAGAGAGAGAAAGTTTCAGATAGTACGCACAGAGAATGAGAAAAGATGAAATAAAAAAAGTATTCCAGTTTTACGTATGAAAAATGCCTCAGAATGCTGCTCTACAGTAAGTATCAACTGCACAATTTAATTAAAGAAGACTGAGATGAAATGCTTATTGCATAAGACGAATTAGAACGGTCGGAAAAGAAAGCGGTCAAGGCCTATTTGAAGATAATATTGTAGGCATCCTCCAAGTAAGCCAAGAAAATCCTCAACTACGTCACCCGTTACTATGGCCGTTATACGTACGAATCTGGTATCCCCAGAACAGAAGTCCAAACTGAGTTAGCTTATCCGTTAAGCCGTTAAAAGTAACCGCTATGCAGGGAAGCAAGGGTTTTATACTGTTCTCACTTCAATATTGTTGTTACTTAACTCCAATAACTAAATAACAAAAGTATGACTAATTTTTAGCGTGTAGTTTTGAGGCAAGGGACCAGTTGGTATACATAAAATATTATACAATCAACCACAGCCCGCGCGAGCAGTTTACATGGGTTACAGGTTTTCCAAGTTTTAAATTTTGCAGATAACATCTAAATGCCAGTTTCACCGGACCGAACACAGCACCAGGGCATCGCCAGCAATGAAAGCTATTCAGCGCTTCGCAGTGCAATGTCCCCAAATTTCATTCTGCGATATTCTACGATTTATTCTCAGTTTATTTAACGACGCCTCTTCAAACAACCAACTCCATGAAGCATATTCCTTTAATAGCTCCCCACTCAGTTGGTCAACAAATATACCGTGTCTTATGAAACACAGAGATTCATTACCGTAAACACAAAACGTTCTTGAGCCAGATGAATCCGGTCCACATCCTCACACTCCACAACTTAAAAATCCACTTCACATCTACGCTTAAATCAGTGTAGGTTACACATCATCGGGTGACAGGACGATAAATTTTTTGTTTAGTAACGACGCTTTTTGGAATGAATTTGTTATACTGCGTCGAATGACAAGATTATTATGAATAATAAATTGGAAAAAAATTAAAGAAAGCGTTTATGATCCTTTTCAGATGTGTCCTACTGCTAGTGATGTTGAACCTTCGAGTTACGTAACTGAATTAGTAACCAAGATCGACTTTCAAAAGATGAAATTTAAATGTGACTTATCTACATATTCAACCACAGATAAGGAAATTTTTGAGAGTTGGCTAAACAGAGGGGGAAACCCTACATGTGATGAGAAAGGGAGCCGAAAACAGATATCATTTGATGCCTGTTACATTTCGATTAACAGACTTCCAAGTATATTTGTTTTGTTTTTTTGAGGTACATTATCCAAATCCTGGTCGTGACTTGGTTTTCCTCACTCACTTTAAGCGTAGGACAGTACAAAGTTTTAATAGAGAGCACTATATACCCCCAAAACCAAAATGATTAAGAAATGTTCAGTAATTTTAGAGATAAAGATATAGGTATGAAAATCCTACCCTACAGCCTGACGGTACATTTGTTGTGCGGTTTATATTCAAAGAACAATCACATAATCGAATCTAAAAGTTGTTTGTTCAATCCGCATATTTTGTCGAACGAAATTTTAGTTTTGTTGAAATATTTGCTTCGGAAGACACTTCACAGAAACAATCAAAAATTACTTTTCAAGCAAAACTATTTATATCGAAATATTGAGTCTGCGATACTGAAAACAAAGCGGTCACCAAGAAATCTGTCATTCTTTCATACTCTTGGAAATAAAAAAAAGAGAAACTGTCATTTGAACGAGGTTTCTTCTGAAGGAATTACTGAGAAATTTTGCCAGTCTGCTATACCAAATCGGTCTGTTTTCCATATCCGCTTACGTGCACACCAATACCAGCTGAGTTGTGGGGAACTCCTGCAAAACAGGCATAAAACAATTCGGAGAAATGAGTCTGGCGTTCGCACGCGGTAACGTCGCTTCTATTGTCGCTTTGCGGATGGATATCTGTGCGTGTTCTTGCATTCTTCTGCCACGTTAGAAGCCTTCTGGCGAGCGTATTCCTATCTAGGAAGTCATACAGCATGTCTGAACGGAATTAAGAAAATGTGTACTTTCTGAGTAGCGGTCGTTGTAAAATAGAAAGAGGAAAAACAGACGCAAATTGAAGAATAGAAGAAATGTTAAAGTGAAGAGACAAATAAAACAAAGAAAAATATAAAAATAATAAGAATAAGAGGACTAGGAAAAACAATAAATGAAAAATAAGAATTATCAACAATACTTGTTATTTGCAGCGGACATCTGATTAATTTGCATTAGAATAAAGTATGATATTTATCTATAATTAAAGATAAAAACATTTATAGCGACTCTGAATTAGACGTCCTGTGTTCGAATATAGGCTGACGCACATCTTAAGACCCACCTGGTCTTACACACAATGGGTTCCGGCCGGAATGCACAGCAGGCTACTCCAATAGTTTCGATAATGTCTGCGTGGTTTTACATCAAAAATAACCATACGTTTTTCGCAACGAGGTGTAGTGGCATACTGAGTGTGGCGTCTGTCTATCGTGGATGGAGGTTTTCATGGTTTTCCTCAGTCTGGCAACAGAATTCAGAGTTATTACTCGAAATCGACGACCGACTCCAAAATTCGTGGCTAAACCACACTCGTTATCACCTCATATAAAAATTTCATATCACCTGCGTAGGTAAAACTGTAGTTAAATAACCTACGAATCAACCAGCCAAACAACCATAGAGCGGTGGGGTGGAACAGAACTGGTCCCTCTTCATGTAAAGCAACGGGCTTTGGTACTATCGATATTAAATTCCCGGAGCAAGTCTCTCAGTTTCGGTTCGGCCACCCAAATTTTTGGAACCACTGGCCAGTTAAATCAGAACACCGTGTGGCCATCAGACATGAGCCCTTGTTCCGCCAAGGATGTCAATTAATATTGTGTATTGAAGGGCAGCGGCGAGGGCCCAAATTGCAAGCAAGTGGACCGCGCAGAATGGATACTGTTTGTGTATGGTCTACCCGTCTTTGAAGATTTCGTAATGCCAATTGCTTTTGAGAAGGAAGTTAGCGGTCTACCCAAAGAAATGTATTTCATATCAACATGAACGTAGCTTAGCTACATTTCAAAAGGCCTACACAGAATGCTCAACCGATTGTGGACCATACTGAAATATCGGATAATTTTGATAAGAAAAAATAATAAAATATAAGATATCGCCGAAATTATAAAGGAGCTGCGTTGAGATTGGCGAATCATCAGAGCATTGAGATATTTAGAGATAACTTTGGTCATAAAATTTAAAAGAAATACGCTACTTGAGATAATACATAGGCGTAGATGGAAGGATATTATTGAAATGGATCACAGCTGAATAGAGTGTGACGGTATGGACTGGATTTGTCTGGATGAAGATGGGATTCAGTGACGGGTTCTTGTGAACAACTTAGAGATTCCATATAATACGGAGATATTTTTAGATATGTGAGCCGCTATCAGGTTCTGAAGGAGCACTCTGGTTCGTGAGCTTCATGTGTGGACCAGCAGAGATTAAGAAATACTACAAAACAAATTAATAAAACATATGAACAATTAATACAAAAGTTCCACGGCAAATGTGAAAAAATTAAGAACGGTAATAAATTCTTTGATAAAATGTCTTTGCTTTGAATCAGTTACGTGGACCACCACTGACCACCGAGCAACACAGTTGTTAAAGAAGCGGCATAAAAACTGTTAAGTGGTCCTCCAAGCCAACCGGAGAAACAATTTCGGGATCCACTGCTCTAAACATGCTCTCAAGGTACCGATGTTAGTTTCAACTTTTTCTCAGTACCTGCAGGCCATTGCCAGGATGGTTCTTTATAATAAGACAAGTACCTGCGCTCCAATCATGATCATCTTCAGATGCCACTCATGCTACAAAAGACTAGCCACTGCAGACAAAATAGCGGCAATAATTAACCTAAAAATTAATCAAACAATACTGGAGAATACCAATAAGTTATTTTTATTAAGCCATTATGACCACCTTCCGAATCCTTGTTTACTTATAACTTATTAACGTTATCTAGTCTCATTTGATGCTGTGTAACCTCCAAAGTTACATTTAAAGTAAACTAACTATGAATGAAACTATTCAGAATATAATCAAGATAGAACCTTGAAATAGGTCATGACCACCTCCTTCCAAATCCTTATGCACATAACACTCACGACTCATGAAACGTTTATATTTTAGAAGACGTTATTCAAACGAATGAAGAAAAGAAGAACGCATAATGGCAGAATAATAGTTTTTCATCAATTTACAATTTTAAAAGCATGCACAAAGTTCAGTTTTGCTGTGGTTCCTTATCTCGTTATGCAACTGTATGAAAAGAAATTTCCCAGCTGTTCAGTTCGCGTTTGCGGCACACACTGAGTGTTTTGCTCCGTTTCGGGGCTGTTCCATTCTGTCTCCCCAACCCCCCTCAATTTCGGGGCCGACTCACTACGGCGCTTTACAGGGTTTGAACCCTTTCTTGTGTTCGCGTTCACAATGAAGACTTCTGTGGCAGGATTTTTCCTCTTCTGCTCTGCTATTCATCGCCGCAGTACATTGTTTAATTCCCTCTTGAATGCTCACACCCGTTTTCGGATAAATAGTCTTCAATAAATCTACTCTCTGCTATTCTGGTACTGCAGAAATTTCAGAGACGTTTTCTTATCTTAGACAACAGAACTCTGGCGGTTATTCACAATATAGAAAACTGGTCTATGCCTGTGCTCCTTTACTGATATAATTTATCTATAATCCACATCTGTAAACATGCTTTCCCTATGTTACAGTGTTTGTCTGGTAGGCAAAAAAAACGTCTTTTGAGAATCTGGCATATTCGTTGGCTAAAAATCTACACATTTCAGTTTCTTTTCTGATTTTATTGTTTCATAAGGAAGACAACACAATCTCACCCACGTTGATATGTACATGTGCAATAATAGTATTTTTAACTAGTCGGTGAATTCTCGTGAAATTTGGAATAGACAGCATGTCACTAAATACGAACCAATATTCATAAGTTTTAAATTCTTAACCTTAATTACATCAAATGGTGGATGTGCAGACTTAATACGTGAAGGTTAAGCTAGTGTCTACATAATATAAAATCATGTGTCGTAATAGTCCTGTGAAAAATATTATGCTTTTGATATGGTAATTTTTTATAAAAAGCGAAACTACGACGCAGTGGTAGTTCAAAGTCCGTATCGAGATTTCCTTTTGAGAACAATATATGTTCAATGGATGAATACTTTTTCACATTCTTGTAAATTGTCTACGAAATTATACAAGAATCAATATGTTACATGTAAACTAAAGACGAACATAAGAACAACGGTGGGTAAGTTCATGTAGCTTAACAGTTGTTTAATTAAGCCAATGTAATTGCAGGAATGATAGGACATAGACACGTCTATATACACAACACTCATAAAAGCACCTCTACATATAATTTATTATTGTAATTGTGTGACTAAGAGTCTTTCCTGAAAATCGTGATATAAAGAACTAATAAATAATTTGTAGTGTGGCGGATTTAGAATTCTTGGAAACAATAAAAAAATTATATTGCTTTCAAAGTTAACAGCAGAGAAAATCCCGAAATTGTGTGGTATCATTCAGTTCATTATATTTTATATTCCTGTCGTGTATCTAGACATCTATACAATAAAATATATATAATTAGGCCCATAATTCCACCTATTGTTTTCTGTGGGTGTGCAATTTTGTCTCTTGCCCTTACGGAAGAACACAGATTGATGGTATATGAAAGCTAAGATCTGAGGAAAATATTTGGACCTATGAGAAGAAAGAAAATTACTGAAAGAGAAGTTTCACAATTCGCAGACCTATTCTTCCGCTAATAACTTATTAATGTTCATAAATCACGGAGGATGAAATAGGTGGGAAATGTGGCGAGAATAGAATACAGGAGAAGGTATAAGAAACCTTGGTCAAAAAATCGATAGAGAGTCTGGTATTGGTGTAAACTACAGGAAAGGATAATACTAAAATGGATCCTAGACAAATGGGATGTGAAGTTGGAAAATTAATTTAACTGGCGGTGAATATAATTAAATTGGCTCTTGTCAACTCGGAAATGAACTTCCGGCTGAATAATTTCTTAACAATGTAATTAATTAATGACTTTTCAAGATCGTGGATTGAGTGAGTAAATTAGTTACTTAGCAAAACAGTTCATGTTACATGCTATCATTATATAACTCTATTATTTAAAAATGGACACCTTTGTAGCCTGCGTCACTACGGCACATTAAAACAAACCTTATATTATAAAACTCTACTGATAAATATTAACTTAATTAGGTTATTCATAGCCCAAGTGATCTAACGAAAACATAGGCGACAATTTATTTCGGAACGCGTCATGATACGACGTAGCATATATTCAATATTCAAAGTGAAGCAACGCCATTTTATCTTTGCATAAATTTCATAATAATTATAGTACCTACAGCGCCAAATTTTTCAGGCTGCTGGCATACGGGCTACATAAATTTGCTCGCGTTGTATGCTATTATATTGTGCGGCAGGTGATTGAACAAATTAATGGCGTACAATGAGTGAAGGCCGATGCTTTCTTTTATATTTCCTGTTTCTATTATAAGCTTTTCCTCCATTTTCGTGTCTTTCCTTTTCATTATTTTTTGAATAATGTGTGTGGAACATGTGACAGGTAGGTCGCGTGACAACTCTGGCACTACGCTCTAGCGCTGGCTCGGAAAAAACACAAGCAGTACCCCCAACATGATAAATATAAAGAATCTGCCAAAACGAACGAGAAATTAAATAGCATTATGTAGTCTATTGGTGCATATTCTCTCTTCGTTAGTGTGGTTTCAGATAATTGCTGATGGATTTAATTGTACAAATCACACTGTATCATCCCATGTTACTTAACCCTTTCCAAGATTTATTTTAAGTTTATATATTTTAATCGGTTCGTGTATTTCCATATTAACCTATAATTTCTATGGTTGAAATCAAAGAATAATTAACTTTAAATATTTGATACATTACGGGCACCTGTCTTATACAGATCTTCCCGAACACGAAACAAATTCAAATTAAAAGGGTCAGTGTTCCTTAGACCTGAAAAGTATAGTAAAGACTACATCTCCCTTTAAATAAAGTAACACTTTGCACAGAGTCTTTTTATTGATTGTGTATAATTCACAGGTGAAAATAAATTATTTCACTAAACAACATTAAGCAACTTATCTTTAAACTGGAAACTTGTTACTTTGACGTTTAAACTGAACTTTCATACATTATTTAAACGAGCGTCGTACCTCGTGTACAACATGTGAAGGGTTAAAACACTGTTTAAACTTCAGAGGTAGTATGAAGTCGAATAGGATTGGAAAATAATGATTAATAATAAAGGACATTTATATTTATTCTCTAGACTGACTGCTCCGTACTTATTGAATAGAAGTTGAATGTTATTATTTATTACAATCCAATATTAACCATAAATAATAAGGAAGAGTGCACTAAATCTTACCAGGTATGCCTGC